TAGGGAAAAGGTTACATTTTAAATTTAAATAATTATATTAGGTGATACAGAAATAATTAATTTTATTAATAAACTTGACAGTTTGATTAATGTTTGTCAATGCCTCATGTTTAAAAAAAAGCGTTTCCTATCAGAACCTAAGTTAAATAGTCATAAAGTGACTATACTCCTGTGAAATCTTTGTCTGAAATAAGCATCCTGTGATTTATTTAGGCAACATTTTAACCCCTCTAGCAAACTAAGCAATTATTCATAGAAGCACAAATTACCACATTTCTGCCCAAATCTGAAATCCTAATGGCAGGTTCTCCATCAAGTCTATTACGGACTGCAGTAATGTAGTGCCGATGAGTTTATTGTAGAGGCACACGCTTGTTTCAATACATACCATAAATAATACGGAGAAAAAAATTACTAGTATTCCCACCTTAGAGTTTTTTCAGAACTGGTTCCAGAAGGGAACACAAAGATATCATAATTTTTTTTTGGTGATGTTTAATGCTTAAAAGGCCTAGTTGTAATATGGGAATCATATCTTCTTGACCCTTCTAGTGATCGCTTTACCATATAAGCATACAGTCTTTTATTCTTAATTTGGTTTTGATGAGACTGTAAAATCATTACTCACCTATGAATAGTCACTGCCACATTCAGTCTTACAGTAAATAAGCACAAGAATGAGGCATGAGGCTTGGCCACACAGTCACTAATATTTCATCTAGGTTTTTCATTAGAGCAAGCCATTCACAGCTTCATTTGGCTCCATTACCTTGAGTTTTGACAGTTGTCCAAGATCTTTGGCTGCACTGAATATCATCTGGGGCCCCTGTAATCACATTGAAAATTCAGGATACAGACTCACTACAGTGTGTTTGCTTTTTATGTCAACGTGATCTTATTTTCTGCTAGGACATTAGCCAAAGTCACTGTTTCGCAAAGCTAAATAAAAATTTCAATTACACATGAAACGTATTTTCATTCAGTTGATAAGGCCAAGTAGTTGAATGCCTGCAGCATGATGCCCTCCAGTATCCCATACCTGATACAAATATTGCTTATTCTGTTGATAGGGGTTTCGTGTGCTCCTGCCTGCTATCTCATTTTGTAGTTATTGTTAAGCTAAGGCTGGCATTGTTCTTATACAGTGTGTCAATGAGATATTTGTCCATAATCATAGCTCTCAGGTGCTATGCTAATATAAATAATCATAATGGGAAGTGAGCAGCCTGAGGAACCTGCAAAAGCTTAACTGTGTACAGTGAAATCCTCACTTGAGTAACACACAGCACAATGGCATACTGTTAAGCCAAAGCCATTTTTTTAAAGAAAATACCAAAGTGTTGTGAAGTTAAACCAATATTTTACACTAGCCAAACTCTGGCATGATACCACAGAGGCCAATGCCTCTATGTTTGTCTTGGACAAACAGAATCAATAATTCAATGCTCACATTTTTTTTAATCTTCACAATTACTCCAAGAAATACAATTACTAGTGCAGTTACTTGGCAGTTCAGCAAGACATAGTTCTCAATATCTGGATTTCAGGAAAAAAAGGTCATTCCAGCTTATGTAGTACAATACAGAACAATTTTTCATTTGTCTTTCTGTTCCAAAAGGTTTCAGTTTCCAGACATAATTTTGCTTCTGTATGTTTCAATTACAAAAGATGTAATATAGAACTGCAGCTTAAATTTTCATTATTTATTAGTAATGAGAACCATAAGATAAATATGAAAATTAAAGAATAAACCCTGCTTCTGAATGTCTATGCCTCTCACCCTCAGAGAGAGAAAAAGTAATATTCAAGGCTACAAAAGGGAAACATCTCTCTTACAGCATCCTACTTTCATTGATTTTGTTTAATTGTGTATTCAATAGTAAGTAGAAGTAGCAAAATAAATGCAACTAGCTATATGACTTTCACTATGCCTGCCAACTGGCACACTTTATATAGAGGCTACCGCCAGTAAAACACAACAGCTGGTGAATTGTAGCATACACATGTGATACTGCAAGCACTCTGAAAGGCTAATCCAGTAATTTTTGTACCTATTTTTCATGTTGCTTAGTCATTACATACTGTATATTTAAGATATTGTATGTTCTACTATACAAATGTTTAACAAAATTTGGACAAAAATAAGCTGCAGACAATTTTTGAGTCAGAGGCTCATGTTTCTTAAGTTTGTGTGCCAAAGCAAGGGTTGTTTCAGCTTTGTGAAGAATGGGTCAAAGCATTTGTGGAAATCCCAGCTGTCACCATTTAAAATGAGCTTAAAGAGTCTTAAATGACAGGCACAGTCTCTGCCTTTAAACAGTAACTGGCTGATAAACAGAAGCTTTCTTACCTTTGGCTGCTAACTAATCTAAACTCTAACTAACTAAAGTATTCATTCTAGATGAGGTGGGGGGAAGAGGGCTCCTTGTCTCTGCTTCTTCACCACCTTTTCTGTATTCTGCCTGAAATGCGGAAGTTTTGCATTCCAGATGTACACCCATAGCTTAATGAAGTATCAACTTGCTAAACTAATGACTGGAATAAGCTTTGTTTGAAATGGGCTTTAACATCAGCGTCACAGCTTCTTGCTTGGTGTGATTTCTGAGCATCGGTAAGGACAACAGAGCTGCTTGCAGATTCAGGCAGATGAACCGAAATCTGTGTTCAGTTGGCAGTCAAAGGTTATTTTAACTATGGTTGAAAGACTAAAATATTTTTATTATTTTTTAAATAAAGGTCTACATTCAAACTCTTGGGAGGAAATGTTTGAAAAAATGTTTTACTATCCTAACTGAAACACTTTGTGCTATTGTCCAAGTGGGTTTACTAAGTCTGCATTAACTTGTAGTTTCTTTCCCTCTTATTCCCTCATTTCCTGCCCAAAGAGGACCTCCTATCAAGTCTGCTATTAAAATACCCTCAAAACGTTAGAGCTAAAATTGGCTTAAGCTTCCTGATGTTAAGTGCTGCCTCAAGATGAGAAATGGCACAGCAGGCAGGACTGGAGAATGGGATGGTGCATTCCTGGCTTTCTGGAAGCTGCAAAAATGGAAGTGATTGAATTTCTGGTGCAGCTCGGAAGGGCAAGGGACACTCTTGGTGTTACAGAGCATGATGAAGTCAGGAGAAATCAAACTTAAAAGCCCTGATACAAAAGAACACTACAAAGCCAGTGATTTGGCTTCTTTTATACTGCATTCATAAAAACTGCTCCAAGTTGGGGCAGGCAGTATATGAAAGAGCAAGGTCTCCCTCACCAGCTACGGAAGAGCAACCTGGCTACACTACTGTGAAACACTAGAGAGCAACACACTGCATACAGTCAATATATTATTCCTGCT